GGTGACGGAGCACTGGAACACGCTGCCCAGGGAGGTTGTGGATTCTCCTTCTCTGGAGATATTCAAGACCCGCCTGAATGAGGTCCTGTGCAGCCTGCTGTTGGTGACCATGCTTTGGTAGGGGGGTTGGACTGGATGATCCCCAGAGGTCCCCTTCAAATCCTACCATTCTGTGATTCTGTGATTCTATGATTCTGTGACATATGAGCCAGACTGTAAAATAACACAGTTTACAGGCTCCATTTTGGGGATTTTTTATTGTTTGCTTAGTTTTTTTTTTAAATATGGATGACTTCTGAGACGGGGGAGAAACAAAGTTTTGTATAGTAAATATTGATTTGTTAGTATCTTGTGCACTCATTCATGTTTACTCTTTTATAATGCAAGAATTGTCCACCACAACCCTCCCCACAGATTTTATAAAGAAAAGTTCAGTAGTAATGATTTCAAATACATTTTAACTGTGCCATTCTGAGAAATCTCAATGCACTTTATATATCATTTTTAAATTATTATGCACTGCTTATAGTCTTATGAACTGCTCCCAGGCATTTCCCAAGATGGAAACATAGGGAAGAAAAATAATACTTGAATGGATAAAACAGCAGCCTTATCATTTTCTGAGGTACTGCTTAATTCTAACATACATCTGAAGTATAACAATGACGAATCTATTTAAATAGCTCATCTGTAAATATAGAAACCTTTAGAAGGAAATTGCATGCTGCAAGGAAAAATCTGATTTCTAGCAAGAATCAGGAAAGAATGCAGAAAGGCAAGGAAGCTGAGGAAGAAGAGTATATAGGTAAAAACAAATGTGAGACTCAGGATGTCTGGATTCTGTCCCTGGTATAATTTAGACTTCATACAACATTTAGCTGTGAAAAATTCCTATTAAATCACATTTGCAGTTAAATAAGGTACTAATACATCATGTTGTATGAATCTGTTCTGCAATGGGATATGAGGCTTTTAAGAGACCAGTGGCTTAGTCTTTGTAGGGATTGAGTGGAGATTACGTTGGCAGGGAAATAAGAAGCTGAGTAATACTAAATGTCTAAAAATTTATTTCCTCAGTGGAAAGTACCGTACAGAGTTTCTTTTTGAACTTGTCCCCAGCCGCAAGAGACTGGAGTTCTTCCTTTATTCAGCATAACCTACTGTACTGAACTGAGTAATAGCAATGGAAAATACGTCCTTTCTGAGTATTTCTAATGTACAATAGCCTTAAGGTGTTTTTCCATTATTCCGATGAGAAACTCTACTTAGATGAATACAGAAGAAAGTACGGTTGGGCTTCCACTATTATTATGGATTTGTAAGCACCATAAAGGAAAAAAATCTGCAACCATAAGACAGCTGAGGAGCTTCCTCCCACTGCAGTATTTTTCCATCTGATCTCTAATTTCTTGTGTGGTTCCTCTTTAGAGATATTGAATTTGTTCTGTTGGGTTCCCATGAAACTTAGAAATATAATTAGTTTTATTGTGCTTCTGTTTACATAACTTGTAATGGCTGTAGGATACTCAAAGCCAATATTGGAAGACAGTTCTAATTTTTGTAGATTTAGTTGCATATTCTGAGTCTCCTGATTGACTGATCTTTGATATCTTCAGATAACTGAACAAATGGTTACCCTAGGGTAACTATTTCTCTGAGGTTGAAGAGTTATTTTATTTCTTTCAAGCGCTTTAAGCGCTACATCAACTCCCATGCACAAGTTAACATTTTATTATTGTAGTATAAAAGTTTACATTTTCCTTTTTGAAGCTGAGAAAATATTGTCACTGGGAACTTATATGCTGTTGTAAAAATAATATTGATCATCTAAACAACAGTGCCTGTACTTTCTGTCAGTATGAAATAATTTTATAAGGTTCCAGTATGATATTGGTTGCAATTTGTGTAAAGCCCAGGGGCAAAAGTGCACATTTTGACTGAAAGTTCCTGTCCATATGCTCTAATACTCACGCCCATTTTGGAAGCTTTCTTCTGAAACCCATCAAAGCTTTGGTATTTTTCTCTGTGTGGTGTATGGAAGACCAAGAACTCATGTGAAATGATTTACCAATCACTAAGTACCTAATTACAGTGTCATGGTGACTTTATTTTACTGCCAGACCAGGTCAGTTGTTTACATGTAGAGGCCAAAGGAGCTGATCTAAACCATCCAGTTTTTAATATTGTTTTCATAGCTTGGAAAAGCCATGCTGATTCTTAAAGTATTTTAACAAAAACAATCTGAAAACACCTTTACAGGAAGGAATGAAGAGAAATTTTTGTGACAATGAGAGTCTTTGAGAGACTGGTTAGTATAGCTGTGAGTGTAATCTAAGGTCAGAAACCTGAAAATTACTGGTTTTAGTGATAAGTAAGTGGCTTTCTTTTCTTTCCCTATGTAAATATACTTTGAGCTTTCCCAAATGGGCAGCTAAACCATGAACAAGAAGAAAAACCCATTTTGGACTGTATTTCTGAACCAGCCTACACCCTCTGTCTTGGGAACTTATTAAAGGATTACAGCTGAAAAAGACAAGAGAAAGAAAACCTTGAACAGGAAGCTTATCCTACAATGAGAATTACAAGTACATCTTGTATCTGCCCTGTCCTAGTTTGTCTCTGTTTTGTGCAGAGGTGTTACGGAGCTGCTCACCATGGCTCCATCAAGGTGACTAGAAACCAAACCAAACACATAGAAGGCGAAACAGAAGTGCATCATCGTCCCAAGCGTGGATGGGTGTGGAATCAGTTCTTTGTTTTAGAAGAACACATGGGACCAGACCCTCAGTATGTAGGAAAGGTAAGGTCATTGTCTTCTTTTTGGTTTTGGTTTTAGTTTTCCCGTCTCCTGAAATATTGCATTGATAAAGGAAACCAGGTATCTCCTTAGATGACACCTCCTTTTTTAAAGGAGAACACCTCCTGGGCTGTTACATACATGCACAGTGAACTTGCCAGTTGTCTATGTATATTTTCTGTGTTTATTATAAAGAAAAACGATAAATAAAAGTAAATACAAAGACAATATTAAAATATGATCAAATAGCATTTCTTCTAAGCTCAGCTAAACACGGGGTGAGTGCAGCTGATCCTCTTGCATCAGATTCTGCAGAACTCAAAATTCATGGGGCTTGAATGTGTCACTGCTAAAGACTTTTCCAGAATATTTCAGAATAAGATTGAGCTCTGCTTCAGGGAGTATTATAAATATGGTCTAGGCTTCATAGGGTATTCACTCCATTCTGAGGCTAGAGTGGGAAAGGTCTCCTGCAATGGGAAAACCTCCATGACTTTCTTCACAAAAAGAGGCAGGAGGTGTATCAGCTGTTACAGTTCCTCAGAAGCCTGTGACAACCACAAGCCCTGCATTTATGTTTTGACAGATATAGTGAGCTTCAGGCAGAAAGTTCATGCTGATGAAGTTGTAGCCTGGCCAACTGAAGTCTGGTTATCATGTGTAATGTTGTCTGTATAGATGGGGTTTTAAATTTGCATTAACATAACACAGAACTGTATATATAGCTTTATTTCAAGATATATGACAGATGGAGCTTTTCTCCCCCTGAATACTGTCTTTCAGCATTATGATAGAATTTTTTATTATGTAATCTACATGTATCTTAATTTCCTTAGTGAAAATGGAGAAACGCATTGAATACGAGGGATGAAGAAGGATGGATGATGGAGATGAAGGCATGGAAAAGGAATTATTTCATTTTAATTTGCCTTCAAGTTGGGAATCCTGAAAATTATATCTTAGAGTATCAAAAATATCCAAGGAAACCAGTAGATTCTGAAATCACAGATGTCTGGTAGCAAGTGCTTTCAAATTTGAACAGTATAATCTGAACTAAAAATAACACTAAAAAAGTAGAGCATCTCTATTTAAGATACTGTTGACACAAACACAAAAAAAAAAAAAATTAGTTATGCCAACCTTAAAATACTAAGTATTTCAGCATACTGAAAATTGTTGAGATTTGTGAAGGAATTGTAAACTGATGAAGGACCTTTCTAAATGGAGGTAGTGGGTTACATTGAAAAAGATTTTAAAATGGATAAGGAGATGAGGAGATACGCTTCTTAGACTAATTAACATTTTCATGAATGATTCTGGAATACAAGAACATTTTACAAACGTGTTTCTGATGCAAAGCTGTGCAGGAGAATCAACACATTATCTGGAAAGAGCTAGATAGCATGAATAAGATTTGGATGTGGAGATACAGAGTTAACCTCAGGACCACAGTGTGATAAGACTCTTACAGAACAATATAATGCATTTCTGTTTACATACTACTGGTTTGTCAGGTGTAAGTGACAGAGGAAGAGAAAGATCTGGTCAGCAGATCAATTAATGCCTCTACTGTCATACCTTAAAGAAGATGAATATGATACTAAGCTAAAAAAGCTGAGATAATCAGAACAGCGATAAAGAGGTATTGAAGCCATTATGAAAAATAATGTTAACCTGTTTACTGTTCTGATTACATTTGGCCAAGAAAAATAAACTTATATATGAAGCTATACAGAGAAAATTGAATACTGTGGTTGGGGTGGTGGTGGAGAATAAAATATGTTTGCTTAATTACTCCCACAAATAATAACGGAAAAAAAAAAAGAGAAGAGCTAGTTTAGTTTGTTCAGCTTTTACTTGAAAAAATGAGGTTTTGCTGGCCATGAGTTTGTTTAGAATTGAAATAAGAAAATAGGAGAGATTCTGAAAGAGTCTACTAATAGAAGAGTGGAAAGAAAAATCTGAAGGGGTTTCAAAGTAAAGCGTACTTGTCTTTATGAAAGCATTTATAGACATGATTGTATGCAAGAGCAGATGCCTGGATTCAGTGAACTAAAGGATGATCCCTTTCAATTTTATGTTCCTATGATAGCGTTATGTATTTTCTTTCATCCTCTGACCACTCTATTAACTCTATTTATGGAGATCAATGAATAGGATTTCTTTTAATCCTTCGTGGTCAGAATGTGGCTACATGCCTTGTTTGAGGACATTTCTTCCTCTGTACTTTACCTATTTTTTCTCCCCTTTTCCTCAAAGTATTGCCTGTGGTGTTCGTCCTTTTCTACTCTTGAGTACTTCACACTAGTAAGCTCATCTCTGCAGAAGTTTTCTGGGACTTAGAAGCATCTGTACTCTATTTTCCATTTGTTGTGATGGTTCCGATGACCTGATTTACTGCAAAGATCAATCATATTAGCTCAGACACGTATTTTTAATTTAGAAAAAGGAGAGCTTTTCTGAGGCTGACATAATATTAGTAATTTGCAAAATTTCAGTAGTAGTCATTGTGCAAGAGTTCCTTTCCATTTTGAAAAATAGGTGTTTTACTGATGTTGCGTTTAATTATACACCCTTCATCAAGGTCTCATTCTATGTGCCTTTAATGTGACAAGAGATTTTCATGCGAAGCCCCTATTTTATGAAGGAAGGCTATGTGAGCTGTGCCCTTTAATTCCAGGCTTCTGTTCCATGGCAGCACACTATCAATTCTGTCAATTACTAATTCTGTAGACTGCTCTGCTTCGCTGGTGAGAGTTTTGCCATTTGATATCTGTCCTTTCACATTTTTTACACCCAATTGGGGAGCACCATCACAGAAAGCACAGTCATTATGTACAATGCTGTTCTAGTGATTACAGTCATTGTCATGGAAATGCACACTGAGGACAAGAATAGGGTAGGCCTGCAATGAAGCAGGTAAGGTTTCTCATTCTTATAGTGAAATGACTGTCAAGAGGATGGATCACTTTACTGGCATTATCTGCTATACAGCAAGTGTTAGGACAACAAGTCATCATTAGATTTTAATATGAAGCGTATCCCAATTCCTCAGTCATTATTTGCTTTCTTTATAAAACAAGAAAATCATTTGGAGACTGGAAATCTGTATAAAATTAATCCCTATTAGCCATACTCAGAAGAAGTTTATAGGAACGTGGCAAAACACAGGTCCTGGAAAAATGAGATTGTGGTAGAAATGAGAATGGATCCTTTTGTAGATGTTAAGTGTTTTCTGTGGTTCTGGGATTATTGCACTTGTTCCCTGCTGTTGCTCTTGAAGTAAGTATTCAATGTTTCAGGGTATGTTTTCCCGAATAAACAACTCCAAATGTAGTTTAGTATATTAAAAAAGTATCTTTAAAGAATTTGAACCCACAATGACTTCTTTTTCTGAAACGATGAAGTATTGGAGGATCAATAATATCTAACAATGTTAGTTCTGACAGACTGCTCATCTGTGTGTGCAAGTATGTACGTGTGTGTGCATGTGCAATGGAGAAGCTGTGGAAACTGGATTAAGCAGGAACAAATATCTTTATCTCAGATAAGCAGCTTGAATCCACAGAACTGAACTGGCAGCTACGTGAGACTTCTTGTCTTTTGCATGTCTCTGATGAGAACTAATCTAAGGAAAGCATAGCTGTGTGCGCTGAAAGGGGCAGGGCTAGCCTAGTGAGGACTCAGGTACTGACGGCACCAGCTCAGAGATATGAAAATTCTCCTGAAGAAACCTAGAAAAACCTGTGCTGTAGGACATCAAGCTTTAACATTCTTCAGTTACCATGGCTGACACAGGTTGAGTTTCTCTCGCATTTTTTGCGTGCTTCCAGGTTAGATAATTCACATGTCAGGGTGTGGAAAACAAATAACAAATAAAGAAATTTAGGAAAGAAGGGAAACAGAGTATGTAGTTCATAGCGTTCTTCATTTTGAAACCTTGCAGAAGGTCTTTGTCTCCAGAAGGTCTGCTCCTTCTGATATTTCTTAAAAGTGAATTGCTTTGGAAGCAGGTCAAAACTACACATTGACTGTACTTTTTACTTCAGAGAGAGAAGTAAATGTGCAGTGACAAAGGGAAGATCAGTGTTGTTTTGAGGCTGAGGGAGGCATGTTATTAGAGGGAATAGCAGAGGAATATAATGAACAGGACTGACACTTGATTTCTCTCTGGACCCTTTGGATCTGTGAAATACCAAACATATACCTCTTAATCCACTTCAGATGTACTCTGGAGGGTAAATAGAAATGACTTTACAGGTATTCAACTCTGTGTTGTTTTTCAACTGCATTTTTCTTCCCAAATTTAAGGGGCAAGGGGAGTGACACTTAGTTCTTATAGTTTTTACTTGTAATTCAAAAATACTTTCAGATTTGTGTTGATGGGGGATGTAAGTAACAGTTGGAAATGAGTGTGAATACAGGAAATGGGAGATGAAAGTAACAACTTTTTAAATGTCTTGAAATTATTGTACTGAATGTTAGATTAAGGATGAAATCGTAGGGGTTATATTGTGTTTTCAAGGTAGTAATTCTATTAAGTTGTTATTTTACTCCTGAAAACAGATACAGTATAACAGACTTGTCATTCAAAATTCTTTTTCAAGATTGTAAGGTGACATGTCATTGCAATAAATTAGTTCTAATACAGGAGAGTGAATCTAAACTTCCCTGATCATATCAGAACATTTTCACATCTCAGATTTAATGACAGTAAAGAGAAAATATGTATACGCTAGAATAAGTGCTAAGGAGTAAACAGAAGTGAAATTTTACAATTAGAATTCTTCTATTGAGTGTTAAGAATACTTCTCTTGAGTGTTAGAGGTTTACATAAAGTATATCAGGTGTTTCAGCATTTTAAACATAAGCAAACAGTTCCAAAATTTATTGTGATAAAAAACTGTTTCTCTTTTATGACAGAGAAAATGAAAAGGAAATTTTAGATGTTGTAGTCTAAAGATTTTGCACGTGTTTTGTTAGCTGTTTTCATGCCTTAGTAA